GAGGTGGGAGGGGGTCAATAAAATTGATCCAAATAAATTCTTTGCACATACAAAATAAAATTCACATGCACAAAAAGAAATTTGATCAATAAATTAGTAAATTCAGAGTGAGGAGGGAGTAATTAACAGGCCCATTTAAAGTGCGGAATACATTAAATACAGAATGAGTGACTCCACCGGGACCACTGAAGCAGGAAACACCGATGCATTTGAGAGGCCTAGAAGATTAGAAACATATTTCAACCAAGAGAAAAGGGAGAGCTCAGAATGATGAAGATGCCAGGGGTGGGGGTATGTATCAGAGGCTTGGAAGACTTGAATTTTGAAATCCTATGAAAAGTTTAACAAAAATCACAGAGGCACTTCAGTGTGTGTCCAGGCACAGGAAACTTTTAAGTAATCTGTTAAGAGAAGTATCCAAGCTATGCCTGATCCTGAGCAGTTAATATGTCAAATCTCTTGATATAAGAGCAAACAAAAGGTTTAACCAAGTCAACTGGAGCAGAGAAGATCTCATTGATCCAGATAACCCCAATATGATCTTGGGCACTCTGGCAGTCCATAAGCTCCCCTGCCAGGGAAACTGATGCCACTGTAGACTCCATGTCACTTTAAGCCAGATCTAAGTACCATAAAGCTTCTGGCTGATGGAAGTAAACTTCTGAGATAGTTTAGTATGGAGGCAAATGAAAGGCAGTCCTTTTTTATATAGACATCTATATACTGACCACATTCTCCCAAAAACATGGCATATGAAGGAAACCAAATGATTGCTAATGGTAGAGTTTTAAAGGTAGAAATTTCTGCTATGATGGTCAGGTTATATCTAACCCTTAAGCTACATTACAGTTGGCTCCCAATAAATGCCATATCCCTTGCTTGGAACTTGACCAGAGTCTAGTTCCCAATTTCAGCCCCAAGTGACCCACTCGGGGCTCCTGTTGGTAACTTTGCAATGGAAAGCTAAATTGGATCATCCATGAATACGAATGATGTAATAATTCCCTTATATCTGGTGGAGAACCAGACCTCGGCCATGAACTACATCAGCAAGAAGCAGACTTTTATGGCTTCCCTCTTTATCACACCACCTGAGACTTCTGTGATTTTTTTTTCTTTTTTTTATTGGTTGTTCAAAACATTACAAAGCTCTTGACATATCATATTCCATACATTAGATTCAAGTTGGTTATGAACTCCCAATTTTACCCCAAATACAGATTGCAGAATCACATCGGTTACACATCCACATTTTTACATAATGCCCTATTAGTAACTGTTGTATTCTGCTACCTTTCCTATCCTCTACTATCCCCCTCCCCTCCCCTCCCATCTTCTCTCTCTACCCCATCTACTGTAATTCATTTCTCTCCTTGTTTATGTGAAATTTAAATAGTAGTTTATCATCATCTAATAGAGCTCAGCTCAGTGTAGCTCCATGAATTACTATGAATTTATGAAGGACTGGGAAGTCGTTTTCACTTTCAATGCAGCCTGGTCCGCTAAGACCATTAAGAAGAATCTTTTCAAGCCCAGAGAATTAAATTTTGGTACCAGGAAGGGGCCCAGAATTCACTTCTGAAGCCTTTGGGCAGATGTTTCTGAAGTTCTCTGACCCTCATTTTACTCACAGGAGTGTTGGGGCCCAAGCCTTAGCCTTAATGGAGTGGGTGGAAGGTTGCTATGGTTAAAGCTGCTTTCTCTGTTTTTTAATTTCCATCTGCCGCTTTCAATCAGGCCTTCCTCATTAGCTGAATGAGAAGGTTTGCAGAGCCAAACCTGCAGCAGATTCCCTCAGGCGATGTTTTAGTTCTAGTGCTTCCCCAGGATTTAGGCATAAAAGCTCCTCCCAGGGTGAGGTGACTTGCCACACATTTGGCTGACACCTGTCTATGAAGAGAGATGTCTAAAACCACTTTCCCAGAGCAGCCCTGAAGCAGTTCCAGTCAGTGAAGTCTTTAGCAGCCTTTCTTCCTTGTCAGGCACAGATCCTGCTGCAAGCCTGAGGATGAATTCTTAGTCTAGTGAGCCATTCCAACCTGCTGGTCAAGTCTGTGCTGTGACCACGGGTGGTTTACATGCTTCTCAATGTGTGAGGTCAGTTAAAAGGCATGAAGCTCCAAACTCCCAGATGCTAACAAAGAGCAGGGCAGGCAGTCTAAACTCTTTGGACTGCAGCATCCCAGACAGGGAGGCACCCCACCCTGGAACAGCTCCACAAGGAGGAAGCCCAGCACTCCATGGGGCAGCCCCTTCCACTCTTGAACAGCTCTAATGGTTAAAAGGCCACACTTTGACCTAATCCCCATATGCCTCCCTATATCTCCCGTGGAGCTACATGGAAAATGTCTACTGATCCTGCTACCTGATGTTATTTCCATTTACGTACTGTCTTAGCAACTATACCAGATGGTTTGTAAGGGCATGAATGTGTCTCTTTTCTTATGCATCTCCATAAGGTCTGTGGCCAATCCTAAAGCTACTGGGAAGTGTCCTTGGTTGTGCTTTAAGTCTCTTCACTTGTGGTCACCATCCCTCCCAAGCCACCCTCCTTGAGCCTTAATTATGCTCATTTCAACTTCACCCGTGTGATCATATCAGAACTATCATGGAGGGATAAATTTCATAGTCATCCTTGACAAATATCCACAGTAATAAAAGTGATCTGCTTTAACTCCAATCTCATTATTCCTCCAACACACACACACACACACACACACACACACACACACTCACCATCACCAGTCTTTGAATCTAGGTGAATGTGAGCAAAAAATTAAAGCCATTCTTAAAGGGGAAAACACAAATCTCAAAATTTGATTTAGAGCTTGAGAAGAGTGAGTGAAAAATAAAGCAAGAGCATTTCACACTTCCATCCTTAGAGCATCATCATCAGAACAACAGTAGCAGTGGATCTCTCTCCCTCTACCACCAGCATCTGTGAATCAGTCAATATACACAAATTGACTATATGCAGGGCATAGCAAACACTGCCCTCTTTGAATGGCCTTTTGTGTGTGTTTTCCACAAACCCAACTCCTACCACTTTTTGAGCCCTTTGTTCAATATGACAGCTTCCAGTAAGCATTCCCTCCTTTCCTGAACTCACAATACTTCCCTATGCCAAAATAGAGCATTTGAAGAATATTTGATTTTCTTAATTTTCTAGTTCTTAAACATGTTTCTACTTTGTTTCCTCATGTAGACTGCAGCCTCCACAAGGCAAGGACTGTGATGGTGATATTTCTGCATTTACCTCAAGGCTTAGTACAGGGAGAGGCACACAGCCAGTGATTAATTAAATTCATATTTGATTTAGAAATATCTAGAAGAGAAGCACAACAGTGAAGAAGGTAGACAGCTTAGTGTAAGATCCCTGCATTATCAAGATGATGTTTAAGCACTGATCAGATGCAAAGCACCCATCATCTTGGTGTGAGAGAACTCAGTTGACCAAAGAAGTCAAACTCCTCTCTTACAAACCCCAAACACGCAATCTGTTCTGCACACACAAAATTCTACTTGGTCTCATCCTGGAGTCTCTTGATCAATATGGCCCCTGTGAACTGTCTCCAGCAGTGGGGATGGGTTTTCCTTTGCCATTCACATTCTCATATTTAGGATCAATGTTTGTGAAAATTACAGGTGAAACGGGAGGCATAGCTTGGGGGTCAATGTCCACCTTCAACAGAAAACATTGTGATGTTCTCTTGGAGAATCACCCTGGTTTCTAAGGGCCTTCTTATAGAAAGCAAGAAAATGAGCTTAGTATGTAAGAGAGTATGTGTATATGGTTGGCATGATAGCATAACAATTCCTGATGAGACTTCATTAAGGACTCAGAGTGTCTGTGGATGCAGAACACAGCTTATGAGGACATGGAGTAGATAGGACAGAGTATATGGTACACTGTGAATATTTCTGATCGTTTTCTTGCACTCCACCTGCTTGATCTAATCTTCTCACACCCATCATTACTAGCTCGCTCATGGTCTTCAGGATTTACCCTAAAGGTCACCCACTCCAAGATACCTATCAGAGAAGTTACCCCCCCAAAAAAATTTTCTTACCTCCACTTGCAATCATAGCATTTCTCCATGATCTGTAATTTTAAAAATATATTTGTTCACTTATTTTGTCTATATTTCCACACTTAAAATATACTAAGCTCCGGTAAAGACAGGACTATGTCTGTTTCACCCACTAATGTATCCCACAGAGCCTAGCACAAATGGTACTCCAAAAATTCTTGGGATAAATAATTATGAGACAGTGTAACAGAGCAGAAAATATAGAGTGGGATGCCAGTTTGAGCTGTATGATGTCAGACAAATTGCTTAACCTCCCTTAGCCTCAGTTTTCTCATTTTTAATATGAATATCCCCTACCTCACAATGCTGTTTTGAGGTGAAAAAAATGAAATAAAGAGTGAGAAACTACTTGGTAAAAGGTAGAGTCCTATACAAACTTTTTCTCCTTACTATCTCACAGACACTTCACTTTACTAAAACCACGTGTGTGTGCATTGGAGAGTGGGGAGGGAAGCCAAAGAGCAGGAAACGGATGCCAAGGGAGCTGTACTTAATCATAATAACCATTAGTATTGACTTTGGTGCCATCTTAAAGGAGCCATTTGTTATAAGAACCAATAGTCAAAACCCCAAGTCAGCCAGGCTTTGTCTTATGAGCTCTAAAAATAATAGTATTTTGCTGTTCATCTGTTTTAATTTTCCAAATTCAAATGCAATTTGAAATCAATTCAAAAATTGATTTCTTTCTTCTAAACAAAGAGACGTTAAAAGGAGAAAGGAAGGAAGGAAGTAAGAAGGACAGACAGACCCAGATTTTTGGTGAATCACATAATAGTACCCCCCAAAGCAGGAGGCCAAAGCAGTAATTATTCCCCTACCTGAGAAGGATGAAAGGAAAATGGGTGAGAATTATGACCACAGGAACAATATATAAAACCTCTCCAGAGCCAAGACCAGCAAATCACTTACCTGCAGCTTCAACAATGACATATAAAAGCATGAAGAAACACAGTTAAGGTCAATTGGTTCCAGGTTTTTGAAGTGCCACCTCATTTTCATCAGCTCCCCACAGCATTCTGTAGCTCCAGCTGGCAAACTGGCTGAGAGAGATTAGAGTTGTTTGCTGTTTATTAAGCAGCTTGAAAACAAAGCAGAAACAGTTGAGTGATCTTGCAGTTAAGACAGCTTGGAGGTGGTCAGCAGATTACTTTCCAGTCAGGCCTTTTGAAAGTGTGTACACTTTGGTATGGTCACTACAAATCAAGTTCTGGCACTCTTAACTGATCAGACCTTGGCATTGTCAATTCCCCCAAGCCTCTGGTGACTGATTCACAATAGAGAAACTCACAATAAACAGACTGATAAAATGGACCTTCAAGTTATTAATATATAATGGTGGGATGGAACTATCCAATATCCAGAAACACATCCACTTTATGGTCTCCAGGAAGGAAATTTTTCCTTTTGTCTGGGAACTTCACCCATATCCTTGCCTGGCTAAGTCTTTCTTATCACTCAGGTTTCTGCTCAACTGTCACCACCTCGGAGAAGCATTTCTGATGACCTTTCTTCTAATGTTGCCCACTCCATCAGTCACTATCCCATTGCCATGTTTTCATGTCTTCAAGGCACTTACTTAACATTATAGCAATTGTTTAGTGTTTGAGTCTCCTTCCATGAGAGGACAGAGAACCAGAGTGGATGAGATTGAGTAGCTGCATATCAGAGCAGTGAACACGCTGTGTGTGGGGAATCCAGAGGAGAAATTTTTTGCCACATGCAAGCGCACACATGTGTATGTGTGTGTGTGTGTGTGTGTGTGTGTGTGTGTGTAGCCTGGGCCTAATAAAGGAATTAATATGAATCAAGTATTTACTATAAAAGTAACCACTTTTCATATAATATCATTGTAGATTTCCAAAAGATTAAATATCATGTCAATGGTCTTGAGGAATATTTATTCTCTAACTCAAATATCTATGGAGGGGAAAGCCTACTGCTACAAGGCCTAGGAAAGAGCTGGAGAAGAATCTCATATTTGCTCCTCTTCACCACAGGAAGATTGAACATAAATTGGGCCATAGTAACCAGAAAGCAGGGTCTCTTTGTTGAAAGGATAATGTGGGCTTCTCTCTTTTCTTTCTAGCATTTTCTCAGCTCTTGATCTCCATTCTGTAAGTCCATCTGAGTAGAGACTCTAAACTATAGACAATTTTTTCTATTTTCCACCTTCTAAGGATGGGATTTTAATTTTGAGGTAATTTTAATTTGGAGCAATCAGAGCACAAGTCTACCTCATGGCTAAACCATATTGATCTTTAACAAAGAATCTTACTTTTTTATCTTTTTAAGACATAAGCAGGGAGATGATAGAATGGGTAAACTTAGATCACTAAGGTTTTTATCTTGAGTCTGCCACCTACTTCATAGTGGATAAGTTATTAGATATTTCTGGCCCTTAATTTTGTCATTTATAAGATGGAAACATTAATGATATTTATTTCATAGAGTTGATATAAGGATTAGGTTAAATGATACAAATAAAATACCTATCCAACAATAAAGAAGTTTTGGTTGTCATCACTAATAGGAGGTATTAAAGGAGAGAGATTCATCTGTATCTACTTCCTTCTGTTTGCTCTCAACTGGTTAGAGATAAGCAGTGCAAATATGATAGACAACTTAACCTCAAAAATTTCCAACACAGCCCAGAAAATTCAGGGGATAAACACTAGGGGTAGCATTTGGGGAACAAAGTCCTACATTAGGAGATCATCGTTTTGGTGAACTTCACTAGCATTGGTGAAGCACTTTATTTTGGGTGTCTGGGGCCTTATAAGGAACCAGTCTTAGGTAGAGATCAAAGTGAGCTCTAGAGTCAGGAGAAGCACTCTAAGGACTTAGACTATTAAAGTGGCAAAATTTTTATGAATATCATAATCCCATGGGAAGAGAGAAAGACTCTTACTAGAGTTCAGTATGCCTCACCTCAAAACAAGCAGGCCACTGTGGCTAGCGTAACTATCAACTGATTTCTTTTTAAAATATATTTTTTACTTGTAGATGGACATAATATCTTTATTTTATTTTGCATGTGGTGCTGAGGATCAAACTCAGTACCTCATACATGCAAGGCAAGCACTCTACCACTGAGCTATAGCCCCAGCCCCCATCAACCATCAACCGATTTCTAGAATATGCAATCAGCTAATACACTGCTCTTATTTAGGGGAATTCCCACTGTTGTATTTCTCAGCTAGGACTATAGTACAAGGCTTTAAACCACAATAGTAGCTAGAGTCGTTATGAGTTAAATGCAATAATGTGAAATTCAAAGTCTTTAATTGTTAGTTAGTGGAATTATATTAGCTGCTACAAATTTTATCCCCCTTGATGTTGATGGAAGAAATATGCAGGGAAAACGCCTTAGAGGGACACAAACTTTGGGTCCATTTGGAAGGCCTATAGGCTCCATGGAATCTCTTTTGCCATCTCCACTAAAATCACTTTTTCAGGAGAATGAGAGCTTTTAGATTTTTAATTAATAAGGCATAAGTGGTCCTTTGATATGTTCCGCAAGGAACCTAATACCATAGGTAGTGAGTGATGGCCACCTCCTGTAACACTGCTTCTCCCTTCTTATTCTATTTCTCCCATCTCTATTCCCAGCTTCTGCTTTGTAATAATTATACTGACCCCAAAGTGTGACTATGCCACATGTATTTTGTTTCATTTACCCTGCTCTTTTCTAGCCCATTATCAGTAGGTTTATCCACTGTCAATTTCAACTCTCTCCTCCAAGCAAATGACTCCTCTCCAATCCACATTCACATATTCTCCATGCAGTGATGTGCTGGTAAATGTTTAACAATAGGCTCATGGGGTAAAGGGCAGGAAGACCCTAATGTCTAGCTTTTGCTCATTTCTATGCTATCAATATTCCCAACTGAGACAGTTCCCACTATAATAACATGCCTGGTCTCTCTGGGAACCAAGCCCATTTCCCTTTTTCTCAAGATGTGACTTATGGGTGAGACTGATAAAGAAACCGTTCGACTCAGTTTCTTCTGTGCTAGATTTGACAAACTGTAGCTCATGAACCAAGCCCAGACCACCACCTTTTTTTGTATATAAAGTTTTAATGGAACATAACCACACTCGTTCTGTTATTAACTGTATGTGTATTTTTTTTACATCACAGCAGGAGAGAGAAGTGGTTGTGACAGAGACTAAATACAAGGCCTGCAAAGCCTAAAATATGTACTAACTGGCACATCACATAAAAAGTTGGCCAATCCCTGTCCTATGGTTTTGTTCCACCTCTGCCTGATTTGAGAATGTCTGAGGTTGTTCTGAGCCCTGTGGGAATCTTACAAAATGAACTGTGCTCCTGGAAGGGAAGACTACTTTTGTTCTGGTGAGTCAATCATTGGGTAGGAAAATCCACATAATTCACAGAGCATTAATACTCATATCTTGTTCTTCTATTTATTATCTCATTTATCAGTTGATTCTAAACTCAAGAGGGGAACAAAGAAGCATTATATCCCCCTAAAATTGAATAGTAAGGCCTTTTTTCTGATTTTTCAACTTTAAATTCTTCACCTTTTCATCCATGTTGTATCCTGGTATGTGTACCTTCAAAATATCTCACAGATCCCTGTTCTCATCCAGGTTCTTGCCACTTCACATATCTGGACTCCCCTCAATAACTCTCTCCTTCCTCTGCTTTTACATCCTCACCTGATCCTTCTGCATCAAGTCTCTCCTCACTCAACTAACTCTCTACTAAGCAGTGGAGGTGCAGTGAGTAAGTGTGCCAAAAGGAGTTTACAATCTATCAAGAGAGAATGGCAAGCAAACAGGCAATTGTAGCACAATGTGAGAAATGTTCCATTAAGATTAGGTATGCTATTGTCAGATCAACCTCCTGTAACACCACTTTTATCATGCTGCTTCCCTGCAGAAGAACTTATAATGCCACCTACTGCCTACTAAATAAAGCCTATTGCTGTGCAAACAAGGAAAGAGAAATTGTGTTTTGGTATTTTGAGGGGGAGACGGGGGTTTTATCTTTTCTTAGAACTTTAAATTCTCTTTGAGAACAGAGATGAACTTGATAATAAGAGGAGAGTTTTAGTGTTGACTGAGTAGAGGCCAATTTGGAGTAATGAATATATTATCAAATCCCCACTATACAGGGTGTTCTAATATGGCTGTGTGTAACATAAAATGAGAAACAGAAAATACAGGGCACCTTTATGTCCTTCTTTGGTCAATTTAATCAAAGTAAGTCACTGCATGAGACAATTTCAGAAGCTTAGAGGAGGGGTATACATGAAGAGAGAGATTCACAAAAGTTTTAAGGGCCTAAACTCACATCTTACTGGGCCTATGTGGTGAGGATTAGAAAGGTAACCTTACATAGATGAAGAGGTAGGATGTTTTGTACTTTTTACTGAATTCTTCCATTAAAGCAATGAAGAATATTCCTGGGTGACCACAAGCTGGATTATTTGCCCTCTTGGGTAAACAGAGCAACAAATTATGGTGCCGCAGTGGTTTTGCCCTATAACCTCAAAGGAAAGCTCAAGGTTTTTCCCTTCATCCACTTTAAGTCTAGGAAACAGAAGCACTCATTAAGGTTGAAAGTCAAAATGTCCTCTAAGAACCCAATCTGTCCACCTTATTAGAAGGTATGACTCTGGTAAAAGATTAAAAGTGTGTGTGTGTATGTGTGTGTGAATGGAAAACTTCTTTCCATTGCTTCTTTACCTTTAGGAAGTATTCCTGCTGAAGCACCTAATGTGGCGGGGCGGGGGCAATAGGATTATAGTTAGGCCCATAGCAAAGAAGCCTAGTAAGGGCAATTAGGCCAGCCCTGCTTCAGACTTAGGAAAGAGGTCTCTCTTTGCATTGGTTTTGTCTTTCTCTGCTGCATTTTTCAAGATAGTGAAGACATTCATGGCCAAAACCAAGATTGAATCCTAGAATAAAGAATCAAAGAGGCTACTTGATCAGGATCTGGTTTAAGACACAGGCAAGAACAACAAAACTCATCCTTTCAAATAAATGGTAGCTTAACAAATGAGAGAAGAAG